ACCTGGCAGAGAACGACTTGACGACATTTAAGATTTTGTGCCAGAAAGCTGTTGCACTACTGGAGCATATTGGCACAAGGCAGAGGAAAGTGGAAACAAATGCGAAATGTGCAGTGGACACCTTTTGGGCTAATTGCCCATGGATCGTGATGTTGATGATCATGCTGTACATGCAATGTGGCGGTGACGTGACATGCATGGAACACGTGATGGAAGTCGTACACGCCCTGGCTATTCGTGAGCACACCTTGCCGTGTTGTTATATAAACAATGGTCTGCAGGTGCGAGGTGTGGATTGTTGCATAGCAGGATTTGGGGAGGCCTTCATCCAGCAGTGGCTGATGATGGTCTGTTTCAACACAACACATCAATAGTCCATCAACCTCTGTGCCACAATCCTCTGATGACAGACAAGCCTTAAACCAGCTGACCCACCACCCCTACGTCTTTCCACGTTTACCAAGTTACTCTCATTCAAATACAAATTAACTCGTACCACGCTGCACGCGCCCAATGCGTCATGTGGAACACGTGCACATACACACGTGGAACACGTGCACACACACACGTGGAACACGTGCACACACACACGTGGAACACGTGTACACAAACAGACATATATCAATCTTGATTTGAAGCTTTCGTGACTGCAGGGATCCATACTCTGGTTCTTTCGGTAAAGTCACATCTTAATTTGAATGACTTTATTAACTAAGCGTTAATCGCATAGCACGTCACTTGGGGCATATTTAACAAACATTGGGCGCGTGCAGCGAAGATCGACTGAATTTGTATGAGAATGGGAGACAATTGGTCCTCTAACACGGGGAGTCGGAGCGCGGTGGTGGATGGCCGGGAGGACCGAAGTTTGGGAAACCCTAAATTACGTCCATTTTACGAGGTGCATGGATCAATGTTCATACGTCTCTTCTTCCCCACAAGTTGGAACCAACGTTTCTGACTGTGTAATGCTGCAGCCTTCGCCACCTTATTAATTACATTGTCACATTTGAATTTCATTCATACCTTGCCCTATGCGGTTTTATTGAACGCGTGTTTCGGCTATACGCGGTTTACATATTGAGGTCCATTTTCCGGAACACTTGGGTGATATTTCGGCTCGGCGCGGTTTGACGTTGCTAAGATTCTCATCTCCGAATGCTGTTTGGGGTCTCCACCTGACCTTGATCTGCTTACATAATCATTGCAAGTCAAAACATGATTGATTTTCACTTAATTTCATTCAGTCTTAATATATAGTTTTATTATATTTACATGTACATCATTACCAAGCGGGCAAAAATAATGTAGAATTACTGTAGTTAAACAAAGAGGAAAGGGTGCTAATTTCGGACGTGGTTTGCCCAACACTGAATTTTCCAGGAATGCGTTTGGCGAGGTATCAACTCTACTCTTAACCTATTACAACAGACGTATCACCAGAGTTTTTCGAATAAGGATCATGTGTTTTAAAGCTTTCGTGACTGCAGGGATTCATCTTCTTGGTTCTTTCGGTAAAGTCACGCTGTCTCCCCGACAGACCTGGTCTTCACCTGATGACGGCTGCTTGCGTTGTGGCCGAAACGTCGTGAGAATTATTTTATTATGTTTTATTTTATTATTTTTATTGTTTCCATTCTACGTGACGTTACCGAAAGGACCAAGAAGTTAGGATCATGTGCTCATGGCCTTAAACCATTATGAAATATCTCCAAGTATTGTGGACCTTTCTACTTGTTCAGCCATACTCTATCTGCTGCTGGGCAACACGTGCCATGCTGGGTTCGGTGTCTCGCTCCCACAAGTTCCCCGATGTCAGACATCTCCTCGTGTCCCCGTCAACATGCAGCCCCATAGTGAAAACCAAAAACGCATGTCAGCATGCCACATAGAAGAAGAAACATATTTTAATAGACATTTCGAACAGTGGCCCTTATTCACAGCACTCACGTGTAGTGGGGGGGGGGGCTGGGTGGGCCCATTTTCAAAGAAAACAAGATACATTTCACCGCAAACTATTATAATGATTAAACCTCTGTGACATGGGCTTTCCACGTTCCCACCCGCAATGGCCACGCGGTGGTTAACACTCCCCTGACAGCCGAGGTGGGTGCAAGTGTACACAATAAATCCCGACTAATGCCCCCCCCCATCCACTAAGGCTACCACCACCAATAGCCGCCAACCACCCCAGACGTCAACAACAGCAGCAGCAATGCGCAACAGATCAGAGGCGGGCGAGGGTGTGTCGGCTCCCCTCACACAATTAAGCCCCGCCCATAGTGCCGTATGCCCCGCCCCCTATCTGCAGTAGCCCCGCCCATAGTGCCGTATGCCCCGCCCCCTATCTGCAGTAGCCCGCCCCTAGCCACGGTAGACCACGCCCCTTGCCCGCATTAGCCCGCCCTAGCTGTGGTAGCCCCGCCCCTAGCCAGGGTAGACCACGCCCCTTGCCCGCATTAGCCCGCCCTAGCTGTGGTAGCCCCGCCCCTAGCCAAGGTAGACCACGCCCCTAGCTGCGGTAGCCCCGCCCCTAGCTGCGGTAGCCCCGCCCCTAGCCGCGGTAGCCCCGCCCCCTGCCCGCATTAGCCCCGCCCCCTGGCCGTGAGTGCCGCAGCGATGCAATCGCCCCGCAGTGACGTCATGGCTTTGCGACGGAGTCGGGCAGAGAAGAGCAATTTGTGAACTTCTCTTTGAATGGACCCCACTGGAGATTGTTTTATTGGAAATGACCCATCCTTTTTGGCAACACACATAAGCAGACGAGACGTCTGCCTCGCGCAGCCGTCTCTCTCTCTCTCTGCACAAAAGTAACACGAGTTTGCTATTGCGTGACCCATCTCGTGGAGCGTTACGCAAGCACATCTCTGTGGGCCGGTTTGAACACTCAAAATGGCTCATCAGCTGAGTTCGAACTCGTTTGAGTCAGTGCAGGTGGAACTGCCGATCATAAGGGCAAGGACGCCTCTTAACCATATGGGTCCTCGTTGGACGCAGATGTTATATGGTGGGAATTAACTCGGGATAGTTCAGCATCCTGCAATGTCTCCATGTAACCGTCTCTCCACACAAACATGCTTTCGCACAACCCATCATTTTTTGGCATTTGAAGGTGTCACGGCGTATACTTGAGTCGTGAAAAGTCTTATTGCTTAGCATTTGATGCAGTAGCACGTATAAATAATAGATTTTCTAAACTGACAAATCTGTCGGGTGGTGGAGGGTTCACGAAATAAATTTTGGTATAAAGCCACCACGTGACCCAACCAAAAAACAAATATGAACATTGCATTGGCTATGAAAACTTGTTTTATTTCATGGTTCATCTGTTACTACATACATACTGCTCATGTGCCGAATTAATATTTCATCTGGAAACATTCCTAAAATGACATCTATATCAGGTCCCCATGATTGTATAAAGGCAAGCAGTCTCCCAACTTTAATTCACTCAATTATCTCCGATCTCTGAGCAAGCTCTTACAAACTTGCTCAGTGGAAGACATGTCAGCTCTTAACTTTTACAACTTTGACAGTGCTCACCAACTGTTAAATACATCTGGCCTCTTTGTGCTGTGACGAAGGGACATTGTCCAAACGTCACCGATTGCAGAACTGTATGCTGTCCTTTTCGGGCAGCACTATTTGATCTCAGAATATTTGTAGTGGAGGAATCCGATGAGCTATTAAGTTATTTTTCGTATGTTGAGCTTTTGTTAGGTGTCCGTGTGCACCACTGCCAATAGAATATCACAACAACAAAAACACATTTAGTTCATAATCTTCAGGGCATATTCTATCTACTGCTGTATATAAAAAAGCTTGCTTCTTACAGTCACCACCATGGGCCATAATTTGTGTCAACTCCTGCACACAAGCGAATTCAATCTCCCCATCTGCGTGGTGGGATGTCTTCTCGGGCATGTGCCCTGCATGGGCTACCATTCCATTACCAGTCTCGTCCACAGGCCATCAGCCTCTGTCGTGAATGTGTCCTCCTGTTCAAGCCCAATTAGCTTCCTGAATTAATGTCTGTGTTTGTTCTCTGATCCACTGTGTCCTCCTTTTCACTTCTCACTGTAACTCCCAAGAACATACCTGTCAACCCATACGGTTCACACTTATTCTTGTGCATGGAAATTGAGCTTTCAGGTCTAAACGGCAGTAAAGACGTTTCAATGGTAATGTTTTTGTCTGTTTGTGTTTCTCCCTAGTGATGGAACTTTGTATGGTGAACGTTGAGATGTATAAGGGCACGGAGGTGACTCATAAGGTCTGTAATAAGGTAGGCACTGATAAGGGGTTGACAGTTATGCAAGTATGACATTTTCTTTGAGCTTTTATTCAATTTGTCAGTGTCCATGTTTCTTGATCCATGCCCTGGCAGAATGTACAATCAGACTCTTCATTTAGACTGGAGGAATCCGATGACCCACCAAGCTCTATTTCGCAGATGCCTAGCAGTTTCGGTGAGTCAGCGAGATACGCTAAGTGGTAGTGACGTCAGAACGGTGTTTGTGCCAGGCTAGGTGCACTTTGAGGCCACGTTAAGTGTCAAACGCCCGCTGACAGGTCACGGGACAGACCCAGGTTCCATGGGTTGGCTGAGTCATGGCCGATGCATCATCTGATCCTCCTACAATAACACAGTATGACAATCATTGAAGGCGGACCCGGGATCAGAAATTATATATTCGGACAAGCAACAAAAAAACATGATGGCGTGATTCTTTGCGGAAATTTCACTTTAGTCATGAAAAACCAAAGCAGTAGCAGGAGCACATGCCAACGCGTCCCGTCGTGAAATGTGGGCAACAGGGAGCGGGGTGGCGGTAAAGAATAAATAAATTTCCACTATTTTTGTCTCGCGCGACGCCGCCAACCAATGGGCGGCTGTTGCTGGGGCTCCGGCTCGACCAATGGGCGCGTCGCTGCCGTCCAAGGCGGCGACCTCGCCACGTGCGACGAGACTCTGGGGGCGGCCATCTTTCTCAGGGTTTGTCAAACGCCTTTGTGTTAACGCTCGTTTGATCGATTTTAATTCGATTTAAAGTCGATCCACGCGCTTTTAACATCCCTTTTGGTAACATCGCAGCGATAAACTGAAATGTGACATTGTAGTCGTTAGTTCCCTGCATAGTCGCATCAAGGACGGAATGGAGCTCCTTGGGAAAGACGACCACGTGAGGCTGCTGCAATTTTAGATTAAAAAATTATCTTCAAATATACACGCGGATGTCGTGATCGCGAATGCGGAGGGGAGGAGTAGGCAGTGACGCCAAGGGCTTGGGGGAGGGGGGCTGCAGGGCGGTGCTCATCTCCACGCTCCCTCCCGCCTTCTCCCCCAACCACCGTCGCCTCCCTTCTTCCCTGGGCTGCTCCTCCTCCTCCCTCTCCCCTCCTCCTCCTCCCCAACCCGGCCCGGCGACGAGGGGCAATGGTGCTGCTCTCTTGCGATCTGCGCAGAGACGACAGCCGTACGATGGACGCGCGGCCCCGCCAGCACGCGGTGTTCGAAGCGGGCGGCTTCACGTGGTCCAAGTACAACGTGAGTTAGCCGGCACACGGGGAAGGGGGCAGCGAGGTAGTGGTGGAGACGTGAGGAGAGGTGGACAGGAGGAGACATACTTGGAGCGAGGAGGAGGTGGTGGTGGTGGAGACGAGAAAGAAGACAACACGGGGCAGGCAAAGACGACGACTGGACGGTGGTGATGGGGGAGGAGGTGGCGGCGAGGAGGATGGAGGAGGAGGTGGTGGAGGAGGTGGTGGAGGAGGAGATGATGATGGTGGCTGGTGGAGGTGGCCGCTCCGTTCCGGAGCTGATGGGGACGAGCAGGAGGAGGAGGAGGCCCTGTACAGCTTCTGCTGCCACTGCTGTGGTGAGAGAGCGACCTTTGTTTATTGCGATTTAGATGTTCCCATTGTCACTCGGCGCGGCTTGTGTCGGTGCAGATCTGTGTGCCAAAGTGTCATCAGCGGACACTGTCAATGTGAGTCCCTCCCCCCCACCCCCCTTTGTTTCTCAGGATGAAAAGACACGTCTCATTCGGTGTCACGATCAAGGTTGTTGGTGTCGCCTTCTGTGTGCCACATTGTGTTTCTGTACGGCAGGTGTCACTTGTGTGCGTGTGTGTGTTCTCTGTTGAGTGCTGCTGCCAGGGTGTCAACGTGTGTGTCAGACTCATGAGGGTGGCATTGTTTTATGTTTAAATTGTCAACGTCGTAAACCTTTATGCCGCCCGATGTGGTACATATTGCCACCGTGGCTGGGTTCCTTGTGTTGAGTGACACAATACGTTGATCACCGCATTGCCAAGCTGTCAATAGAATGTCAATGTAAAGATGTCTTCATCACACTGGGTGGTGGGTGTGTAGATGACACATATAGGCCTTTATAACATTTGCAAGGTTAAATGAGAGCGATTTCGTCCTAGGTTATCCATTTAGACACGCCACTAAAATAACATGAAAAAAATATCTTACAAACATGTTATTGTAAAGCCTCTACATCATTCATTCCGCCAATCTCAAGACACCATTTTCGACCTTTTGGCACACACCGCTTATTCAATCGCACCATTCAATCACCTGTTGAAAGGGAAGGATTAGAAATCGGTAGCATGTCGACAATTGTTATTCTCTAGAGTAGCGCGGTCCGTGATGTGCGGTGATCGCTGTGCGTGCCTGCCTGTGCACGTGGCGTGTCCTTCATGCCAATGCCGCCTTGTGGTGGTGGTGGGTGCCTCTTGATCGCGATGCCCTCTCTGCCTTCGCCCTGCCCGATTGAGTCTTGCAAGTGAGAGACGTTTATCCACAGAGCTGGGCTGCAGTCTGGGTCCAACGCGTGTTGGTGTTCCTGAGCCCTGCCCTGTGATCGAGAGTACATATGCCACCACATATGTGATCGAGATTACATATATACCACATCGGCCGTACATACAGGTGCAGTCATTTTGTCAGTCCACCCGTTAAATAAAAGCCTCTTCCCCCCCAGCGCGTTAAATCGGTGCCGTAGACTGTGAGAAAGTTGGTGGCAGATTGACGGGCTGCACCCAAAACAAGATGATTAAACGTGTTTCATTTCCTTTTTTCCAAAAGAGTTTTTTCTTCCGAGCGCAGTCGCGCCGATAAGAAATTAATTGGTGGCCTTTGACGATTTAATGTACTTTTTTTAACACATCCTGGAATAAAGAGTTTTTTTAATTGGAAGGCTTCATATGTTTATAGCACTTAACATATTTATGATATCCATACAGTATTTTTGTGGTTAGATCGTGTAAAGATATAAATGTGCCGTTAAACCCGCCACCACCCGACACAGTCAACTAGTAAGGTTTGTCACGTAAACAGAACGTGCCAAGTCGTCACTAGTGCAGCACTAACCGGTGTGTTGGAGAGTCAAGCCACAACATTTACAATCTGAGTTCGACGTTTAGCCAGTAATTGCAACCAGCTTCATAAGGCGACAGACACATTTGTGGATAAAATCCTCCTTAAGTAGAGGGGTAGATGTAATAGATGTTCATTTCTTATGCACAGTACATACACGTAAAGTCCCCTTTGCTGCTCCACAGCTGCATAATGATCTCCCAACTCCATGCATATAGTGCATGGCAATTTGACCATATTTCACATTGGTCTGCGCGGGTTGGTGAAGGAGGGGAGTACAGACGTAGGAGCATAGAAACTACAGTACAAAGTTGATTTTACTCCACTGCCCTCTACTGGCCACCACGTGGCCCTGCAGCAGTTTACAACAACCTGTGTATGCATGGTGGTTACTTCAAGCACTCGCCCAATCCTGATTTGCTTCTGAGAACTGATGACATCTGGAACATTCTGGGTGATTTGGTCATTCACTGTAAACTGCCGATTATATTAAACGAGGGGGTTATTTACTTAATTGGCTTTGGGATATGTTCAAAGATGTGGGCAATACACATGCTGGAAGGAACAACCTTTTGGAATTAGTGACCATGTGGCCAGCATGAATATCTGAGGGCACTAAGATCATCAAAATCTAGTAGCAGCAATGTGCCTACAAGAACTGTGGGCTGATTAAAACTAGGCTGTGGTTTCCACATAAGATGGGCCAACATCTAGCAGTGGATCAGAGAATGGGAACTATGTGCAGAAAATCTATATCACGTTGTTTGGAATACATAGTGACATTTGGCACAAATTGTGCTTATGTTTGGGGGTCAATATTTAAGCAGAGGACATGCTTGACAATGTAAATTGGATAGAATGACATTTATGGAGATGGAGAAGCCATATGGGGAAAATGGGGAGTTATTTGGTGATGGAGAGAAATCTTTTGGCTTTCACAGGCAAAATAAAATGCTGCACCGAGTCTTACTTTTGGAACAACATGGGTGTACTTTCCAAGTGAATTTCAGGGGAGTGCTGTATAATGATGCAAGTGCATTTATGAAGTATACGGGGACAATGTGTTGCAGTACATCTTAAAGAATACGATGTTCACGTGGATGCATTTACATTCAATCTGGTTATTTTGTCAGCCTTTTCTAGTGTTCAGCAAGACAATTTACTGATAGACACGGTGCTATCTGATGAAACTGATGATTGATGATGATGAGGATGGCAGCTTGACCATCTGCTTATATGTAGCTGCAGTTTTTCTTACTTTTAAAATTGTGTCAATTGCTTCCACGTAATTCTAGAACATTGCAAGTCTTACATTTTTATATTCGGCTGTACTTGTACACCCCCTTTCTCAATCCACTTCTGGATGAGTGCCTCACCACGGTGTGCAGGTCATGGGAGAGAGGCGGGGGGGGGGGTTAATTGACCTTACTTCCATGTTGGGTTGTGCTGGTTGATGGACATGGTAGCATGGAAGTAGAATACATATTGCCACAATGAAATGTTCTTCACGGCCCTATGTTGCCCACCTCGGAGCCCCACCGATGATAACAACTGTTATGCATTGTGCAGACCCATCCATGCACTGTCCAAGTTCAAGCGGGCTTAGCTTTCGAGATTTGACGAGATTGGGTGAATTTCAGGGGATCTTGGTCATAGGTGCAGACTTTGAATGAAGCATTAAAACTTATTTGCTTCTGAACTGTTTTCTATGCTATTCGTTATTGATAGTGGTTATGCCAGTCTTACCATCTGTAATGTAGCTAGTAACACTGATAGTTAATTGACGATTTTTACAATTATGGCTCTTAAGCCACTGTTAAACTACTTAGTCAATGCTGATGAGTATTTAATTCTACAATCTCTCTACATGCACTATCAGCACTATGAAAAATTAACATGCTTCCTTTTGGCAGTTTTCGCGTACATTTAATCCCGATGACGATATTTTAGCATTTTAAATGAAATACTGTTTTACAAAGCAGACCGTCTAATTACGATATTACTAAAAGCATGTCCACCCTTGGTATTTACTGGCACCCCGATTCACATCTCTCCCTTTTATGTCGTTTTGCAAATACGTCATCACTTTATTCGCACCACTACCTGATTCTGCATCGCCTGAACCCAAACGTCGCTGACGGCATCGTCCGTCCTCTCTCGTTATCGGTCACCTCTCGGCCTTCGCCTCCACCACCGAGCCTGTAAATCGCTTTGATTTGCATCGTTTCGATTATTCGTAGTCGCACCTTTCAGGAACTCATTCCTCCCCCCCCACGTAAACCGGGATGTTACTTGTATGTCAGCCGCATTGAAATATAAGCATTTATTTTTTGACGTTGCATCTATGAAGTCAGAGCCATCCGTCTTCAGATGACTGGTCTCGGCAGAAACGTTTAAAATAGGGGCTTTAAAAAAAATCAACCGTCACCAGTAAATGACCCCGACCTTTCTATGCAGCCTGTGACAGCACGCGATAGCTGACATCTCTCTTACAAAGTGTCTGCTAATGTTTGCACGCCGCAGGAAGCAAAATATAAAAAAGGAATAACCAAATTGGAGAGAGGTACTGGACCACAGATGTTCGGTGGACCATAAAGATTTGCACTTTTTTTTTTTGGGGGGGTGGGGGGCTCGAAATGCATTACTCTGTCACGTGGGGATATGTGTTGCCAATTTGTAGTGCTGATAGTGCATGCAAAGTGCTCCCCGGAATCCTATTGTTGATAGCTGCAAACATCTGTTCCATTTCAATTGTCATCTAGCGAGCTCTTATGTGCAGGCTAACTGTACGCAATTTAAAATATTTGATAACGTAGGTGTCACTTTATAGGGCTGCTGTATTTTTTTCTGCATTGCTGCACACAATTTATAAATACTCTACTGTACATTATTAGCGTGTTTTCTTTTCTTCCATTGATTTCATAGAAATCCTTTGAAAGCCCTGCTGCCATGGATATGTTTAGTTCTAGCCTACACACATTTTAGAATAAACGTTGAGGTCGACTGGTGGTTCACCAGTTGCATTACTTCAGGCAGGGCAGACGTAAAAATAAGAATGCACATTTTTTTGCAGAAAAACCTCGCTGAGTGTCAAGATCTTATGAGGTGGGATCTGCATTGGAATATTTGGCTAATTTCTTGAATGAGTATTGAGGAGAAACACGCAGAAGTGGGGTAGCACTCAACACTGCCATTTCCTGGCCACCTTATAGCTCCACGCCTTCACCACGTGGCAAGCCTTTTCAGTCATTCAAGCACAAACCAGGCTCAACCCTCATGAGCTTCTGAGATTAGGCACACGAAGGGGAATTTGGTTTATGGCTTTTGGTTTGTTTAACATGTAGGCTTTTGTGACCACTATCCATAATGCAGGTTTTTTTTGGGGTTAGATTGCGTAAATATAATTGTGTCGTTAAACCCGCCACCACCCGACACAGCGAATTAGTAAGCTGTCATGTAAATAGAACGTGCCAATTGGTTACGAGTACAG